ACAGGACAAAGAAACAAGTAAAATGCATGATTTCATAATTCTCAAATTCCTGGTCTTTGCTTTTTGCACCTGGATATTACTTCATTATTCTGGGCCTCGCTCCATAAATGGCAGCTGGTAAAGAGAAAAATCAGGCATCCACGAATTTGGGAGTTAGAAGCAATGTTCACGATCGTTTTGCTCCAGCTCCGAGGCTACTGGATATCACCCTCATTCCATTAGAATTAAGAATCCATTGTTTTCTTTTTAAAGGTAATTTTCCAAGCTTCAAGTTTTGTATCTTGATTACAGGCATCAGTCAGTTCTGATTGGGCTGACAGTTTGGTTAACAACAAAATAATTTACCTAATGTATATATCTCTGCCTTCAGAAGCAAAATGTCTAAAAATTTAATAGACTTGTGAAATAGTTTTTTAAGTTTGTATTGTTTGTTTGTTTGTTTAAGAGAGAAGAAGGAGGGGGAGAGAAAGAAGAGACACAGATGTGACATGGGCCGCCTCCTGAGTGCCCTCCACTGGGGATCGAGCCTGTAACCAGGGCATGTGCCCTCACCGGGAACCGAACCAGCACCCTTTCAGTGCATGGGATGGTGCGCCACTAACTGAGCCACACTGGCCAGGGCTAGACGTGTGAAATTTAAATCGTTTCACTTACTCATTGGCTCTGGTAGTTTTAAATAAGGCAGACCCAATAGTTTGAGAGAATAATGGATTAGCCTTGATGCAAAACAGATACAAACCCAGCACCGTCTTCCACCGGCATTTTGAATTGGGCTACACCTCAAGCAGGTGACGATGGTGACCCTGATACATGTCTTTTTTTCTCCTTGGATTTAAGATGTGAGGCCATCAGTTTATGTGTGTGTGTGAAAGACAGAGTGAGAAAGAGAAAGAGAGAGAGAGAGAATAGAATAGAGAAGAGAAGAAAACAAGAAGGATATGTCGGCTTGTTTTCATCATTCCTACACTAGACTTTCAGGTGCAGAACCAGAGATGATGTTTCCTAGGTATTTTATTGAGCTCCTATAGAATTTGTAATCTAATTAGTAGTACAGTCTCATCTTAAATACAAAGGTGGGGGCATGTTTCAGTAGGAAAATCATGAACTCTCTACACATTGCATGACCTCCCTGAAAAGTAAGTTCAATATGTGGATCAGAAAAACTAGCCTGACCCATTCAGGTTTGGAGCACCTGATACGGCTAGGAAATTATGATTGGGACTATGCAACGGAAGTTATTTTACATTATGCAGCACTCTGAGCAAACTTTATTGAAGCTTCTACGGCATTAGCCCTAATTACTCGCAATAACGATGCACCGCTCCCTTGAATCAGACCTTCCTTGTGCCAGGGGACTGTGGCTGATCAATGGCTATCGAGCAGTTGGATCACGAAGGCTGACCTGCCTGAGATCAGTGGTAGCCACCGCCATCCCCTCCTCCCAGTAGCTCACAAACGCACGTGTTCTCAGTTTGGCCACCCTCTCCTGCCTCCTCCTCCAAATCAATCACTTCATAATCAGCACGCCTCCCAGGCTCCGAGAAGCGAAAGAACTGCCTTGAACACAGCGTGCACGCACGCACACATCGCCAGAGAGGACGTATTTAAACCTCTCACCCGCCTTCACTTCTCCTACATTGTAATGTTTATATAACAAAAAGGGAAATGTTCTTTTTTTCTTTTTTCCTTTTTCCAAAGATCACCTGTTTGAAAAAGTACTGGTGGAACCATAAACTGACTAATTATTTGGCAAGTATTGACCAACAGCCTCCTCCTGTCTGCCACATGTTTTCCATCTGATTGTTAAGCAGTTCCAAGGTCGGGCATGCTTTGCTCAGATGTTGCCCACCACGCCAGGTGCCGGAGCAGCACGCAGCACTGACTCGCAAACGTTGATGTCACTCAGTGATGATTTACTGAGCAACTACTATGTGCCAGGCACTGGACTAGAAACTAGCACCCGTTGTTTTTCAATGAAAGACATTTTCTAATTAAGTCCATTATTTCAGTAGTTTTAAAATATCAATTAATGATTTCTTAAGTTAATTTCGCTTTATAAGCCACTTGGTTTTATTGCTCTTTCTTTTATTTCCCTTTGCATTTGTCTGGGAAACCATTCTGTAGAAATGAAGAGCTGTGGAAAAATAAGTGGGTTTCCGTTACACAGCCGGAAGTAATTCTAAATTACTTGCTTGTCGTGAAGGATGAGTAAGGGGACTCTAAAAAAACAAAACACGAGTTGTCTCATCAGAAATGTATATGACTAAGGCACAAGCACCCAATTGTTTGGAATCAACCCCAGAAATGATGTATTACCTGCCTACTACGTGCTGGACATCGTCAAGGCTACCCACCCTATCATGATGAGTTTCACTCACTGTTCTCTATAAGAAGCAGGAGCCCACAGTCAGGGAGAAAGCAACCTGCCTTTGCTATCACTGAGCCAATGACAGACGTGGGATTCCAGGGGAAACCAGGTGGTAAATCAAGAAACTGGGTTCCAGTCCAATGGCATGACCTCATGCAATTGCAAACTGCAGAGATTGCTCTGAATCACATGTGAAACCAAACACTGAACACGAGCCCCACCTACGGGACCCTAACTCTCTCTGGTGTGTGGGAAGCAGCAGTGTATCTGTGGGGAGCAGAATCTCAGGAAGGCCTGGTTGCCAGCACCTGGGGTTGATCTCTGGCTTGTTTTCCCCTAGAAGTTCTGTTCAGCATCCTGGGACCTGGAAATGGCCCAAATCTGTGAAATTCTCATGAGGGTCTCTATTTAGCACTGCCCAAAATAAACAGCCCATTCCTGCATCCTGAAACAGGGGAGCTTTAGCTCAGCTCTGATTACCAGAGAGGCAGGTTTAAAAGTTTAACTCCCACCTGTTTCTATGCCCGTTTGGCGTATTTGTAAATTACGGAATGCAAATAGAGGAAGCAAGTCCATGGAAGGCTGGGATCCCAAGAATGCACTCTCTCATACTGAATGAAAAGAGTTCAGGGGGAAGAAAACCGGGGACCACCTGTCTGCCTGGTGCCCCTGGGAAATATCTGTGTTTGGCAAGCAAAGGCAGAAACATGCCGGCTAATTTCTAAATCTATAAAGGGAGGTCTCCGGAGCTTAACCGACAAGGTTGAATAAGCAATTTTCTGGGTGGGTAGTGCAGACCGTGGCCCAAATCGCTCGCTCCGGCCGAGGGAGGACCTCCCTGATTTCCAGGCACGACACCAGTTCTGACTTCCAGGATTCTGTCCTACTGCCCCCTCTGCCTGCATGTCGCCCTGCAAGGGCCGAAGTCCAGCACGTCTCAGGGGTAACTGCTTCCCCATCCCCCGGTGACCTTCCTTCCTCTGACCCCTTCTTGTACTCCTCGCTGGCATTATTTACCTGACATTTCCACCAAAACGCTTTTCATTTCACATCGAGCATGTGAAAGATGTGAAGATTTAGGATCATATCTGAGAGATGATCCCGTGCCGTCAGAGCAAGATTTCCCAAATGGCTGGGGAGAACACCATTTCCAAAGAGAGGCTAAGAGCTATTTAAGAGCTATTTGCAGAAAAATGGGTTTTGTGGTGAGATGCGATTGTGAAATTCTGCTGTTCCGTGACTCTCCCACCCGGAGCCTCACAAGGAACACTGGTCAATTACAGGCTCTGAGGAGTTCCGCAAAGAAATTAGGTGTCACACAGCATTCCCCGCGTTCATTTAACTATGCAGACATCCGTCTGTTGCCGAACTCACGTCAGGAAGTTTCCTTCCAAATATTTTTTTTTTCTGTTGTATCAATTGGACTCATTTTCAGTTACTAATAATTTCCACAAAGGAGACAGGTATGACAAGCTGAGTTCTCCACTCAAAAAAAATAAAAATGAAAATAATAAAGCTACCTGCTGAATTAGATGAGTTTGGCGTGAAAAATCAGTCATCAGTTTCTTCCTGGGCTTCTCATCACAACAGGCATTTCTAAACACTGCAACATGTTTATCCTTTACCAATGCATTCATTCAACAAACGTTTATGAAATGGGTCATCATTCTGTGTGCCGCGAAGATAGCACGAACCTGAACCATGGGTTCTACTTCCGAGGTGTGTACAACTCTGCCAGGAGGGGGAAGGGGTTAAATGGGTAACATTTCCTACGTGGGAGCTGAATGCCTGGAGCAGCAACAGAGCTACAGGCCTTTGGACGAGGTGAGACTGGCGGGGCCGCGAAGCTCTGTGGGATGCAAAGCGGCATGGAGTGAGCCTGTCCCCAGAGAAAGGTGGTAAGCCAAGTCCAAGGCCTACCTTCTGGCAGTCGGATGCATGTGGCGAAGTGGGGGCTGGTGTGGAGTCTGGTGAGGTGTCAAGTGGGGAACAGAGGAAGGCAGAGCATCTGGGGTGTCTGAGGTGTTTGAATAAGGAATAGTCTGGGGGACTCAGGATATCATGAGGGTAGAAAGAATCAAGGCCTCAGGGAAACCATGGTTACTGTCTCCCAACCTGGGGAGCAAGACAGGCGGTGCCGTGCAGTGGTCAGGAGCATGGGCTAGGACCTGGGCTGGCATCCTGACAGCCCACAGCTTCCTGGGGCTAGCTCTGTTACTCTTAGCTTCCTCTTCTGAAATGAAGACACAGTCTTTATTCCACAGAGTTTTTTATGAGTTACAGGAGATAACATATATAAGGCCCTGCATGCTGACAGTCGTGATTACTAAAGCTCGACAAAGAGTAATTCATACTGTTATCATTATTTGCTGCTTCCAGAACATGTGTTGGAATAAACTGGAAAGCTTCTTCAAGGGGACTGTGCGTCCAGGTTTCAAGCTGACCTCCTTCCTTCCCAGACCTCCTCCCACTGAAAAGACCCAGATCCCGTGCTGCAGCAGCTCACCTTCTGTGTCCAGGGGAGGCTGGCTCAGCACAGAACTCTTACCTGTATCCAACAGCTCGTTCCCGGGAGGTCTTCTCCACGCCCACCTTCACCGGGGTGAACCCAGAGCATCTGAAAAGGGCTCACCTGCGTCCGAGGTCGCTGCAGATGCAGCGAGCAGAGACAGCACGGGGGTGGGAGGGATGGCAACACTGTCCACCACAGCTGGCTTCTTCCTGGTCATCATGGTGGACGCGGAGCCCTCGTTCTTACTAAGCGTTACCGTCTGGTCCACTTTTAAGTGGGGACTTGGCATCCCTGAAAAACACGAACCCCAAAGCCTTCAGTTACTTTGAAGGAACAGGAAGGCAAACAACATAAAAGCTGAAGGTGATCTGAGGAAACTGTCAAATGATCTGACCTCCTTCTCGTGCAAGAATAACCCTGTAGAATGTAAAGCATGACTGGTTAGGGCTTTGTGGCTGAAGTTCGTGGTGATGACACTCCAGGTGGGCTGCCTGGAAGCGGCATCGGGGCACCGGCCTAATGAAGCATATAGTGCTCCATCGGGCTCGCTGTTGCCTTCCGAGGACTGAGAAGGCCGTCTCTCCAGAGGCTGTGCCATGTGCTGTGTGCAGCATGAGGAGGAGAAGGGGATCCCGCCCTAGTGAGGCTACCCCTCCCGTGCAGCTGGGGTCTCGAGACAAGACCAGAGAAGGAAAACCTGGGCGACAAGTATAGGCAGGCTTGTGTGCCATTCGTCCTTGGTGCTGGGGGTGCTAAGGAGGTAGGGGTCCAAGTGGGGGAAAGTGAGGCTTTCCTGAGCTCACGTCAGAGCAGCAAGGACGAGGGGAAGGCATGTGATGGAGAAAGGAAGATGATCCAGATGAGGGACCAGCCTTCTGGCGGCAGAAAGGGCACTGTGGGGACTTGTGTGTGACAGGAGTCAATGGGCCACGTGAGAGCTACCTTGGGGGCCTCTGAGGGTCTGGTCATGACAAGCATCATAAGTCATGTCTTTATGATGCTGAAAAGCCTGGGAAGGCTCTCATGAGGTAGCTCTGGAAGGGCCTGGAAATTTACTACATGACAAATCCTGAGATCTATTCTGGAACCTTGTTTCCTGGGCTCGAATCCAGGCTTTTGTACTTTCCAGCTGTGTGATCACGAGCTAGTTACTTAACCTCTCCAGGCCGTGAGCTTCCTTAGCTGCACAAATGGGGTGGGACCCTCTCGTAGGGGTGGCTGGGAGCACCCAGCAGGCAGCCTCCAGAAAGCACTCAGACCAGCGTCTGGCACACCATCCACGCTTCGTGAGTGTTTCCCTGGTCATTATTCCTGTTGTTGCGACTCCCACTGTTATAACCCGCTGCTTCCTCAGGCCCAACTGAAACCAGCCAGCAAAGTGTCCATTCTCTTCCCCGATGTGACCCAGGATTTCTGAGCACCTTCCACAACCCAGCTGCAAAAACATGACTCCCCAACTCATCCCAGCGTAAGCCCAGAGGCATGGGGTTCTGCATCCACGTCAAACAGTGTGCAGAACAGAAAGTCTATTCCAAGTTTGTTCACTTGCAGGCTCTATACCACAGGCAGCAACACCACGCGGGGCCTCATCACGGTGGCCCTTGAATCTTTTTGTCCCTCCCAACCAACCTGAGTGATACAGCCCCCTCCCAGAGTAACATTATCTCACCGCCACAGTGAGACAGGCTTCCTCGGGCCTAGTGACAGCCCGGGGAAGCACACAGTCTGGAGGTTACTACTTTCCTAATTTTACAGACGAGGGCAGTGGGTTCCTGAGAGGTCAAGAGAGGACTGACTAAACTCCTACAGCTCTTACTATCAAGATGGAAGTTTCCCAGCAGCCAGATCGTCCGGTTCCAGCGGTCCACTTTCTAACACCTGCCCACACCTGGAAAAGGCACTTTCTTAGGCACCTGCCGAAGCAAGTCCACACTGACATTTTCCTTCCCCTTCTCCTCCCTTCCCCCATTCTACAGCCTGGTCTCTGAACCTCCCGCGTCAGATCCTGAGAATAACAACACCATTTAGGCTTTTTCTGATTTTACAGTTCATGCATTTTGACAGAGAACGCAGGCAAACCTAAAACTCTATGATAGAAAGATGGCAAGGAGCAACCGTTCAGGAATCAGGAAATGCAGCAGAGGTGTGCAGGCTGTCCGTGTCGAACACACCCAGGCGTGCCAGGGACCGGCGCGTAGACACATGTGAACATGTAGCATGCACACGGAACCATCCACGAGGAGAGGCATCCAAACAGCGAACAGCGGTTGTGCCGAGCACAGAAAGCACAGGCAAGACTGGTGAGGAAGCTGGAGTTTTACTTTGTGCTCCTTAGCCCGTTTCAGGGTTAATCTCTAGAACCACAAGCATGTATACACTTTCGTGCCGATGAGAAATAAACATACTTTGGGAAAAATCTAGATGCCTGTACCAGAACATGGGCATCGGGGCGGTTTGATGTAATTGAAAAACTGGCTGCTAACCCAAGGACCTTTTTGCATTTATCCTCAGATAGAGCAGGAGGGAGAGAGGGGGGAAGAGAAAGAGAGAAACAGCAACGTGAGAGAGACACATCGAGTGGTTGCCACCCACATAATCCCAACCAGGACCGGGGACAAACTGCAACCGAGGTATGTGTCCTTGGCGGGAACCGAACCCGGGCCTCTCTGGTTTGTGGGCCAGCGCTCTCACCACTGAGCCAAACCAGCCAGGATAAGAAGTCCCCACGTCCACACTGTGCTGGACCACGGCTGTGTGGGCTCCCGTCACAGGGACGCGTGTGTGCTTCTCACAGCAGACCTCATCCACCCTAAGCAACCAGAGGGCGGTTGGACAACAGCTCCTTTGGGAAAACTCACTAATATGTCAACTTGGTACCTGTGGACACAGGTTGGGCAAGTAATTCTTTGCTCAAATTATGACATGCTCAGAGAATGAGCCATAATCAGGATTAGCAGGTGGGTATTTAGCTCTCACTTGGGAACAAACGGATTTCAAGTCATTTTAGTTGTACCCATTTTCATGCAAATGTTCACAATCCAAATTAGTCTCAGTCCACATCATTTCATTAAAGTTGATCCGATCATATCTCTATTGGGCATACTTTGCTACTCAAGTGTTTATGTTACAGAATACGTTAAAAGTAATAAAATGACACTTAAAACACTCTGTAATTCAGATTGTCACTATTGAGCTGTCTTGAAAACCCTGGATAATTTAGGGTTTTCTATTATTGTACTGTTTGCTAGCTGCCAATCCCATGAATTTGAAAACAAATTGAGAAAAAAAAAAAAAAAAAAGCCCTGACGTTTTTTCAGACATTATTGGGCTTTGAAAGGATTATGGAAACATTCCAAGAATACAGTATACAAGGCCAGGCATACTGGATATGTTTTAGACAAAGGCTCACCTAACAGAACTTGCAATCCACAAAATTTGTCTGAGCGCGGAAGTCTCAGGAGACTGGGATGGGTGACTTCTTGGGAGCGAGCATCGGGCAGGCTGGCCCTGGGAAGTCTGTGTTCCCCTGTATTCTAGGTGGCCACTCACGCTTCATGACGGGGCCCCCCAATGACCAGGTGAATGAGAAACTGTTCAGAAGCAAGTTCTCGAGACGAAAGGGCTTTCATCTGGGAAGGGGTCACTATGCCCGCGGTAGAGGTGCTCAGAGTGTCCCCAGGCCCCAGTGCAGGACACAGTGTACTGCGGTTTGCTTGTTTGGACACCAGCACGTCTTTAGAGAAAGAAATAACAATGCTAATAACTTTGCGGGTCCAACATCTGTTCATAATTAAAGACAGAGCCAAGAGGGAAAAAAAAAAAAAAAGTGCAGCCTATAGGAAAACATTCTGTTATAACCTGTTGACCTCTATTGATACATTTTGTTCCAAGTCTTTGAAACTGTGCTGCCGCCTGTGGAAGGACAGTCACTCATTTTCAAAGGTAATTTCTCAGAGACCACTTATCCCCTCAAACCTCTACCTGCACACCGTGTTTGCATTAGGGACTTGATTTATGGATCCCCACTCCTCCAACGCAGAAGCTGACTTCCTGTTGCCTTGGTTACTCGGAGCTCGGTTCAAGGTTAAAGTACTCCCAAATCAGAATCAGTGGCAGGCGCCGCATCTCTCGGCCAGGTTATTGACTGCCCCAGGATGGGAAAAGGTCAGAAACCCAAGCACTGTTTACTGCCTCCAGGGTGAGTCAATAGCTTCGATATTTTGATTCTGTTTCCTCCCAAGTAGTAGTTGCTGTTCAATTACCTCTTCTCCAGGTTGCTCAAGGTCACAGGGGTCACAGAGGAAAAGCAGGCTCTATGGGGATAGCTTTTCCCAGGATCCCTTTAATAAGCTCTATGACCTTGGATAATAAAAAACAGCCTCACATTAGAGTAATTATAAAGCTACTTATCTCCTTTATCTCATTTTCTCTATGGGAAAACAAGCAAACAAATACACCTTTGTGGGGTGACTAATACTTACTCCCCTTTTCCTGATGAAAAAAATGGAGGTTCAGGGAGGTCACATAATTTATTTAAAATTCCATAGCTCTTAAGAAGAGGTAAGAACTAGTTGGGTCCTCATCTCATCCTTTCTTTCAAATAAAGGGGCTGATGAGATCATCTGTAATTCATTCTGTAATATCCACTGTAGACAGTGTGTATCTGGAACATACTAAATGATTAATATAGGCTGTTGAACACCTTAATTTTTTTTTTTATCCTCACCCGAGGACATTTTTCCATATTTTGTTCAGATAGAGTGGGAGGGAGAGAGAGAAACATTGACATGAAAGGGACACATTGAGTGGTTGCCCCCCGCATGACCCAACCGGGACCGGGGACCAACTGCAACAGAGGTACGTGCCCTTAGTGGGAACCGAACCCGGGTCTCTCCAGACTGCAGGCTGACACCCTAACCGCTGAGCCAAACCGGCCAGGGCTTAAGTAATTTTTTAATGGTAAGATATACAAACACAGATGTTTCTAGGCAGGCACAGTAGGAGCGGTGACACCTCTGGGGTGACCGGTCCCTGCTGTCACCCCCTGGCCCCCTTCACGTGTCAGCATGGAAGACTCAGCATGGTCTGGGAGGCATGCTCTACTGAGCGGTTGGTCAGTGGCTTTTAATCTTGCAAAGAACTTGGACTTGCATTATGCTATCTGCCCCTTATGACCTCCCTGTGGATAACAAGAGGCAGATGGTGAAAAGTCCAAATTCACAAATAAGGAAACCGAGGCACAGAGGACTAGGTGGTCTGCCCAAGCTCCCACAGCACGTGTGTGCTGAAAT